CCTCTCCTCGTCAGTATATATATGTCTTCTTTAAAACCTATTTATTCTCCCTCCTATCCATACATTCTTCAGTCCTAGCAGTGTATTTGGATGCACAACAACAACAACAACAACAACAACATCAACATCAATGACAATTCAAGAACTTCAACTACAACTACAGCATCTACAGTATTTACGCTGCACCTTCAAAAATGCTACTAAAACAAAATTTAATATGTAATGTTTGTGAGAAAAACTATCAAATAATAGCTAGAGTGTAACCCATGAAACTATGGTAAACAGTATTGCATGTACAGCAGCTGTACGTTATGCACGGCTATATGCGTTAAAGTACCTGACTGCACAGCTTAAACAGTTGTTGGAAGAATTTTCATTTATCTTCACAACTAGTTTGAGCGTTGTAGTCTTGTACATAATCTCATTTACAGAAGTTCATTACTTATGTTCAGTATTCATTTATAGTATTTATTTACAGTATTTCAGTATTCATGTACAGTAGTTCAGTATTCATGTAGAGTAGTTCAGAATTCATGTAAAATAGTTCAGTATTTATGTACAGTAGTTCAGCATTAATGTACAGTAGTGCAGTATTCATGTACAGTAGTTCAGTATTCATGTACACTAGTTCAGTATTCATGTACAGTATTTCAGTATAATTCATGTACAGTATTTCATCCTTCATATACAGTAGTTCATCCTTTATGTACAGAAATTCATCCTTTGTACATTAGTTCATTCTTTATGTACAGTAGTTAATTATTCTTCATGTACAGTACTCATCCTTCATGTACGGTAGTTCATTATTTATGTACAGTAGTTAATTCTTCATGTAAAGTAGGTCATCCTTCATGTACAGTAGTTCAATGTACAGTAGTTCGTCCTTCATGTACAGTGGTTCAATGTAATCTAGTTCATCCCTTATGTACAGTAATTCAATGTATAGTAGTCCATCCTTCATGTACAGTAGTTCATTATTTATGTACAGTAGTTCATTTACTGTACTTTATTCTTCATGTGCAGTAGCTTTCATCCTTTACATAGAGTTAAAGGGAGTGACCGGCAATGTATGGTAGTTGAACTGAGAATGTAGTATATATGGAGAAATTTTTTATAATTCATCTTAGACATATTAAATTGTAATGCAATTTACAATAATATATCTCACTTATGAATCATAATATTACATTTTTATCCTACAAAGATATTTGGATGGATTTTTTTTAGCTCATTAAAAAATATTAGACTCAATACTCTTCAAACGAGTAAGGACGAACTCCTGATGGACCTGATGATGCCAAAGTTTTTGGCGAAATATATTGAGAAGAAAATAATATAATTCTAGTGATAGATAAGTAGGGTTGGGATTTATTTAAAATCGATCTAAAATATTGAAGAGATTCGTTAATAACGTTTTTTAAATATTTAAATTTTCTTTTTTCTTTATTTTCTTTTTTTGTGTTGTTTAATGTTTTGTACAAAAATACATAATGTGATATAAATGTTTTAATAAATTGAAAAACTAATAAACTGAAAATTTCATCTTTTATGTTTTTATTTGTCTTCCAACTTTTTTTGGTTTGATTCTGACCCAAAGTTTTGGTGTTTGGAAATCCACCAAAGAAGAAAATAATATTCTGCAGAATGTTTTATATTGTTAATGTTTATTTACCAAGAAACATGATTCAATTGCGCTCAAGCAAAATGTGAAGAAGGCAAAACCTTTGATCAATTATTATCAATTATTATCATTGTCATTTCTCATCTGAATATCATATTATTATTTTGTGTACTGTTCCGTATTTATAGTGATGTACATGAAGTGTACTGTCCCGTATTAAAAGTGATGTACATGAAGTGTACTGTCCCGTATTTATAGTGATGTACATAAAGTGTACTGTCCTGTATTTATAGTGATGTACATTAAGTGTACTGTCCTGTTTATATAGTGATGTACATTAAGTGTACTGTCCTGTATATATAGTGATGTACATTAAGTGTACTGGCCTGTATATATAGTGATGTACATTAAGTGCATTGTCCTGTATTTATTGTGATGTACATAAAGTGTACTGTCACGTATTTATTGTGATGTACATTAAGTTTACTGTCCTGTATTTATAGTAATGTACATGAAGTGTACTGTCCCGTATTTATAGTGATGTACATGAAGTATACTGTCCCGTATTTAAAGTGATGTACATAAAGTGTACTGTCCCGTATTTATAGTGATGTGCAATTAGTGTACTGTCCAGGGGGCGGAAATGTCATGTATGGATGTGTGTCTATATCAAAAGAGTGTGTGTATGTAATACCGAACCGAAGGCGTGTACTGTAGGTATAAACAGTACATAACAATCTCGGTATTTGTACAGTCTAAGATAGAGTAAATAATTGTTTATTTTTAATTGTAACATACTATTTATATATTTAAGTCAACACTATAAGCCAAATTTTCATGCAAAGACTATAATTTGATTAAAGTTTACAATAAACTTGTCTTTATTCAAGTTTAATTATAATTGACGACATTGTTCTGCAATTTCCTTGACTGCAAGTCATGTTGTGTGTCTGTACCAAAAGAGTGTGTAATAACGAACTCGTCTGCAAAGCAGTGCGACCGGCTTTCTCATGCCAGACCAGCGCCATTTCCCTTCCCTTAATTCTTATTCCATGGTACTGGTATTTATAGTGATGTATATTAAGTTGGTTCGCTTTTTCAGTTTATTTTGCATATGATTTGCTATCAGGATCAAAATTGGGCATAATGTGTTTCCTACAGTCGTCGTCGAATACATCAATACAATGAAGACGACTCCCGATTTAAATTTTTAAATTCTGCCAGGCTTTTAAACAGCATGGATAAAAAATGAACATAAACAAGGAAACAAAGAGAAGATGCCAATTAACAGCTTCTCTTTCTTTACTTGTAAACTTGTATTTTTTAATGGATACACATAAACATTGTAAAAAATGAGTTAACAGTTAGTCTTTGTTTACTTAAAACTTCTTATTTTAGAAAAAGCTTGTTAACAATCAAAACGTTCATAGAAAAGTTGTCTTCATTGTATTGATATATATCGCGACCACTGTATCTCAAGATATGAATTACTCAAAATGTTTCCAGTAACTGTGTGTTAGTGTTGATTTAAATATTAAACAAATATCAAGAGTATTTGAAATTTGTTAATTATATATAAATATTATAGAACAGAAATTATCAAATCTCTACATTTATTTTTGTAACAAATAAACATAGATTGATTACATCCATGAAAGTAAACATCCTGTGGATGAAACGTTTCGTGGATGAAACATTTTGTGGATGAAACATTTTGTGGATGAAACATTTTGCGGATGAAACGTTTTGTTTACAAAATTGTTTATCCAAATTATGCCAAATTTTGACCTTGACAGAAAATATATTAACCAAAATTAAACCAAAAAAAATTTCCAAAAATAAACGTGTTATAACGATCGTTTTTGGATCGTTTTTGGATCGTTTTTGGATCATTTTTGGATCGTTTTTGGATCGTTTTTGGATCGTTTTTGTAGCATTTTTGGATCGTTCTTGGATAGTTTCAGAATCGAGTTTGGATAGTTTTCAAATTGTTTAGTTTAATAAAAGCCAACTCTCAGAGAATACAGATTTGAAATCTTGTAAGTTTTATTTAAAGTTTTAAAAACGAAGCAAAACGATTAACAACACTACACTTAGCATACTGCACAGTGTAAAATTGTCTCTAGCTCTGCTTGAAAGTCAGTCCGTTACTTCAAATGAGCCGGAGTTTTTATTGACACAGATGATGGTTCTCATTTAGCCTGTTTTCAATCTGACGAATCAGCGCTCTTGCTCGTCGTCTTCCTTCTCTGAAACAAAATTATCCGGATAAAAATCCAAACCAAACTAAACTTCTCCTAATTAAACCAAACCAAACCAAACTAAGCTCCTCAAAATTGAATCAAACCAAACTAAACTAAGCTGCTCAAAATAGAATTAAACCAAACCAAACTAAGCTCCTCAAAGTTAAATCAAACCAAACCAAACCAAGCTCCTTAAAATTGAATCAAACCAAACTAAGCTCCTCAAAATTGAATCAAACCAAACCAAACTAAGCTCCTCAAAATGGAATCAAACCAAACCAAACTAAGCTCCTCAAAATTGAATCAAACCAAACCAAACTAAGCTCCTCAAAGTTAAATCAAACCAAACCAAGCTCCTCAAAATTGGATCAAACCAAAACAAACTAAGCTCCTCAAAATTGGATCAAACTAAAACAAACTAAGCTCCTCAAAATTGAATCAAACCAAACCAAAGAACTAAGCTTCTCTTAATTAAACCAAACCAAATCAAAATAACCTAAGGTAAATTGAACTGTCGACGTTTCTTAAAAAACATATAAATAACAGCTATGTAAGGTAGTTGACCTGAGTATGCAGTGTGGTGGACAAATTCTTTAGGAGTTAAACTGCATACTCAGTTTAACTACCTTACATAGTCCCTTTAAAGCATGATTTCTGGTTACCGGCCACCTTAAAAAGATTGCAATGTCTGATTCACAACTGTACCCTTAAAAGCTATGTCTGATTATGTATGAATTAGATATCAATGTTTATAATCTCTAAAACTGTTATTTTCAGCTGTAGGTTTTCTACAAAAGTGAGTTGCGCAATCGCATGCATCTTCCAGAATTGGTGTTCATCAATTATCACTTTTTTCAGAGAAAAATCGGATATCTTTCTCATTGTTGCTTAAATATGATACCGTTGTGAATCAGGCTTGCAAATGTTATGGAAATTGTAGGAGGCTCGTTAAAAAATGCGGAGGCTCATGGCGGCCAAGGTGTCCCTCCCTCCACTACGTGTTTACCTGTTTAAAATCTTGTTGTAAATAGTTTTCCAGACAAACTCTTCAACATTCCGCTTCTCCCCACTACAATTCAAGAGAACATGTCTTTTAAAAGAGAGCAGAGGCGGCTTACGATGTTACCCCCCCCCCCACACCTTCTTAAACAGCCTCTGAATGAGAGTGTGTTCATAAATTTTAAAATCAAATTTTTAAAATATATTAATGGGACTGTAAGCGTAATTTCAAGTTACCCTCCGTGTAAAGATGTCAATGCCCGATTCACAACTGTACTCTTAAAAGCTTTGTCTGATCAAGTAAGAATTTTAGATCAATATTTAAAATTTGGAAAGCTGATTGTTTTGAATTGTGGTTTCTCTACAAAAGTGACTTAAATCCAAGAAAGGAAAGTGTTCATAAATTTCAAACTCTGATATTTAAATATAAATTGTGAGATGGTCAAGCCAGGGTTATCCATATATTATGAGACTGAAAAGACGACTGTACAGAATATATTAGTTCAACTATAACAGTCTCATTCTTTGTGGGTAACCCTGTACAACCACCTGCATAAACAAGTTGAAGTAAGGATTCGGTGAAAACGAAATAACTGAAATGTTAATGAGTTATGATCAATGTTACCTATTTTTTTTTAAGCCAAACCTTATAGAAATCCAACGTATAGAAACATCTACGTATAGCAACAAGGCGTATTTTCCGGGAGAACATTTTTTATATTTTTGAGAAATTAAACGTTTTTGTAAAACATTGTAGCTTATCATTATCATTATTATAATTTCTATTTTTTCTAACATACCCTAGACATTAAACTAGGAGCAAAATAGTTTAATATGTACATTTGTACTGCTATCATTGTTTTTAAGGGCCCCCAGATTTTATTATGTACTGACAACATAAATGAATGATTATATGGTTTTTTTGTCATATTTTTGAATATTTTTTCTTTAGTAAAACTATATATTCGAAATGTGTTAACAAATTTCAACTGATACACCATTTTAATATGTATTTTGTCTTTGTGAGTGAATAAATCTCTATAAAATAATATAAAAGAAAAAACGATGTTCTTATAGCCGAACAGTCTTAAATTATGCAGGTGGTCAAACAATTTAAAAAATTTCTCAACAAGATTTTAAAAATCTATCATCTCATCTATCTTCATTAAAGTTAATAGAACATTGACAATGGCCATATTTGTAACCAGTTAAAGAATTTTTCTTCTAATGTTTCCTGCGATATCTAGAGTTTAATGCATAATCTCCCAACATTACCCTGAACAAAATAGTTTACAATTAATAACATACAACACCCAACTGTAACCTTTGATACAGGGTGTCCCAATAAACATGAGATTTAAACAACGACTTGAAAATAAATAAATGATAAAAAAGATTGTGCACCTTCTGAACTTTTTAAAAATGCAATCTTACGTCTTTGTATATTTAATATTTGACGAAGAAATAAAAATTTAAGCAATAGTAAACTAGGCTTTTAGCTTTAAACTTTGAGAGTATGCATTTTTAATCGTTCTCCGACTTTTCCGGATTGAAAACTTAAAATTGATGCATTTTCAAAAATGATAAATTACGACATTTTATAGGGCAACATTTCTTAACTTTGACCAGCAAAATTGCCTCAAAAATTTTAAGACAGACATGCAAGCAAAATATATATATATTGGATTCTGAACAAAGTTCTCAACTTCACCTACAAAAAATGGGAAAGCATAAAAATGCCGCGTTGGAAAAAGACGATAAAGTAGTCGCCACTTAGTTACCAGTTAATAAAGACACCATAGAAAAAAAATACTGAAAAAATTCCTTAAAGAGGGTTAAATTCCTCTTAAAGTAACATGTGTCAGTCTTACCCATAAATATAATCAAAAACGCTTTCCTCTAGTATCAAGTTTTCTCCAATAGCAATATTATCCTCTAAATTCATGACAGCATGTGCCATGAAACCTTTAAAAAAAAATTGATTTTAACAAATTTACAGTGTACACTTACAGTGTACAATGTACAATGTACAGTACAGTGTACAGTACAGTGTACACTACAGTGGAGAGTGTAAAGTGTACACTGACCTATGCTTGGGAAATTTTACATTTAAATGTTAAATGTTGCGTAAATGTCGTCTTCATATTTCACAGTTTTTCCGCTCATGGGATAAATTTTTTGATTCATAAGAAATGAGCAGTAAACCTTTTTTGCCTTGTATGTTGCATGCTTGTAAGTTTTATTTTAGTTTCTGCATTTTACGAAATATTTCTTGTCTAAAGGGACATAACACGTAGTTTTAAATGGTCCTCTATCTTTAGAATGGCATGTCGGATGCAAAATGGTTTCCTCAAAAGCATTGATCAAGAATGAGTGAGCCATCCGTGTTTCTGTTTTTGAAATTTGATCATTTTTAATTGTGATAAAAAGCTTTAAACAAAACAAATATAAAACATGACGTCTTTTCAAGATTTAGGGGTTTTTGGTTCGCCTTTTGGCTTCTGCCTCTGCAGTGTTATTGGGAACGAAAACCCCATAAATCTTGAAAAGACGACATCTAGCGTTCTATCTGTATTGTTATTATTCTATGGTTTTAAACCTTTATCTTGCCATTGAGAATCAGGCATACCCCTCCTTAAATGGTGGGTCACTTCATCATAGGCAATATTAAAAGATCCAAAATAAATAAATATACCTGACAAATATACAGTTTTAACATAGATAAAAAAGACCTGAAATATATTCAGTTTTAACATAGATAAAAAGACCTGGCAAATATACGGTTTCTTCTGGCCCCTGGATTGCTTCAATCAGCTTCTTTCCATAAAATGATCTAAATTAAGGATTATGTTTTACTAGCTTGGGAACCCAGGGAACCAAGGAGTATGGAATAGAAGGGAGATATACAACTGACGCGGCCCGCCCTACTATATGATTATACATGCTTTGCAGACGGTACTCCATTTGTATACAAAATATTCAGAATAGGTTATTGTATACGCGGTAATTGTACATCAGACAAATATTTCTTATTCAAATGGAGTACTGTCTGCAAAGCATGTATAATCTTATGGTAGGGCGTTCCATTTCATACTCCTTGTTGGGAACCCAGAGCGCTGCCACACCCTTCCCTCAGCAACCAATGATGTTCCCTCTAACAACCTATATTCCTGGTAGTAAAAACTACTGTAGGTATTTGAATCCTTGGATGAGAACCCGGAAATAATGAAAAAATAAGATCAACTGAAGAAACTCAACTTAACCTCAATTTTAAAATCCATTTATCTTTGCAACCTGAAAACCTTTGGTTTTTGAAACGAAGCCTAATTAATCTGGCAGAATTCACAGCTTTTAATAACAAAAGTCTACCACATAAGGTTGCAAAGATAAAAAACTTAAACATTACTATTAAACACTAGAGAGCTGGAAAACTAGAGAGAACTTGAGAACTAGAGAACTAGAGAACTAGAGAACTAGAGAACTAGAGAACTAGAGAACTAAAGAACTAAAGAACTAGAGAACTGAAGAACTAAAGAACTAGAGAAACGGTGTATTTCCAGGATAAAAATCCGTACAATCCGTACAATTTGAAAAAAAATCCGTACAATCCGTACAATCTTAGGGTTACAAAATAAAAAATCCGTACAATCCGTACATTTTGGCCGCCCTGTAGCTCAATATCTGAAATTATCATTGTTTTAATTGAACTAAAAATGTGTAATCATAATCGTGTTTAACAACAACAAGTGTTAAAGTAAAATTTTATATCGTATCTTGGAAGTATTGATAGTTTTTAAGCAGGGTTAATTTAAAATATTCCGAATTATTTTGGTTCTTCCCGTAGTAGATCTAATATTGTGTTTCAAGAAGAAAGATCTTAACGGTCGAGAATGTTTCAAGGAAATCTATGAATTGTCGTTCTTAAATCTATATTTATATTTTGTGTTAATCCATCAATTGGGCTCTTAAAATTTCGTCTTTTTTTATGAATTTTCGTTTAAAAATTCTGTATTTTTCGCGATTTTTTTGTAGCATAATTTCCATTTTTTTCGCGAAATGTTTGCATTATTTTTTTTTCGCGAAATTTTCGCATTATTTTTTTCGCAAAATCTTTGCATTTTTTGCGAAATTTTCGCGAAACAGATTGTAAACTTTCGCATTTTTCGCGAGAAAACGAAATGCGAAAATGAAGCAAAAAAGGAAAAAAAAAATTTCACGTAAAATGCGAAATTTTGGGAAACGATTTTTCCTTTTTGCTGGAAATCCTAGTGCCAAGATTAATAAGTTACTCCCGCCGTTTACCCGCACTTTAACGATTTTACCGGGAAACTAAATTTTCGCTATTAAAGTCGACCCACTCAACTTAGAATCTCAAAATCAAACTAAGAACATTCCCATAACTATTCTTCCCCAATCAAAATTTAAGACAAGTTGGTCAATTGGTTACCTAGTTATGATCGGAAAGATAAACAGAGATTGGTCCCAAAATTTAAACAGAAAAATCCACAAAATTCGTTTTACAAAGAAAAAAGTTTACAGGCCTGGCCCTCTTTAAAAGAGTGGTTACTTGAAATTTCAACGGAAGCCCCTTTAAGTATTTACCTTGTTCGAATTTGAGGGAGGATATGGGTGAACCAGGACATTTGTGACATGTGTTCAACATTCTAAATAATAATATTAATTAACAATGTGAAAATGTCTTAAAATGTCTAAAAAACAAAAATTAATAACTTGATTAATTGATATAAAAACTTCTTAACAATTTTACCTTTGGCTGTGTCTGAGATTGTACTGGCAATATTCAGTTGTTATATGATAAAGCTTGCTTTAAAAACCAGTTTTTAAATAAGAAAGCTTGCTTTAAAAACCAGTTTTTATAGGAGAAAGCTTGCTTTTAAAACCAGTTTTTATATGAGAAAGCTTGCTTTAAAACCCAGTTTTTACATAAGAAGCTTGCTTTAAAAACCAGTTTTTAAATGAGAAAGCTTGCTTTAAAACCAGTTTTTATATGAGAAAGCTTGCTTTAAAAACCAGTTTTTTTTTATGAGAAAGCTTGCTTTAAAAACTAGTTTTTATATGAGAAAGCTTGCTTTAAAAACCAGTTTTTATTTGACAAAGCTTGCTTAAAAACCAGTTTTTATATGACAAAGCTTGCTTTAAAAAGCAATTGTTTTAAAGATTTTCAAGAAATCCTATAAAACAACTTTTTTTTGCTTTTTGGGTTGTCAGAATAAATGTGAAGTGGATTAGGGCCCTGGTCTTGGAGTTTAACAGTAGGCTTTTCACCAATTAATAGCAGTGGGGTTATGAACAATAGCGAGTAATTACCCCAGAAGAAATTCTGCGTTGGATCATTTTTCGAAATGTTTCCCGTTAAAAACGATAATAGTGGGCCCTGGACCAATAAACACTAGAAGCCCCTGGACCAATTAATAGCAGTGGGGTTTGGACCAATTGATTATAGCGGGCCCTGTACAAATTGATAATAGTGGGCCCTAAACCAATTAAAAGCATAAAAGTCCTGGATCAATTAAGAACAGTGGACCCTGCAGGACCAATTAATAACAGTGGACCCTGCAGAACCAATTAATAACAGTGGACCCTGGACCAATACAATTAACAACAGTGGGCGGTGGAGCAATTAATAACAGTGGGCCCTGAACCAATTAATAATAGTGGGCCCTGGACCATTTAATAGCAGTGGGCCCTGGACCAATTAATAGCAGGTGGCCCTAGACCAGTAAAAACAAACAAAAAGTTTACTTGAGAGCACCCGGGATCGCACAAAAGTTTAGAAGGATTGACATCCACCGGAAAGAAAACCCACCTAAACAAAAACATTAAAATAGTTTTTCAATGCCCTTAAAAAACAATAATTTATTATACCATTTGTAACCCAAGATAATAGTATTCCATCCTGCTGTTCTGATATGATTATGAATGTCCAAGTGCAGACCTGTGCCTACAACAGAAAATAATGCAACAGGATGTAATATTCATATTTTTTTTACCAGGTAGGTTTCTCTGGGTTTTCTCAACACTTGGTCCCCAGAAATTCCCGAGAAATTCCCTAGAATTGATTTCGTGAAATTATGAAAAATTGGTCCCGAGAATTTTAGAGACAAGGTCTAGAGAAATTCCCGAAATTCGGTCACCATTTAATTTCGGTTATTGTGTATTCAAGAATACTCCAGATATTCCTTAGAAATTCTGAGTGATTCTCCAGAATTTCTCTGGAGCAATTCTCAGTAATTTCTCTGGAGAAATTCATCAAACCTAAAAAGGTGATTCAAGAATATCAATCCTTCAAAATGTTCAAAATTTTGTTTCGAAAAATTCTGTAGCAATTTCTGGGCTTTTCAGGATAAATTCTCAGGAGTCCCTTCTGGGTAAATTCCAAGGAATAAATCCTTATTTGGTCGGAATTTTGCTATTAATTTCCCAGTTCCTAAGTTTTAAAACTCTGAAAACATTGCTATGTCATTCGCTATTAATCCGAGGAGCCTGTAAGGGTATACCTTGTTGAATTGAATATGCTACTAGCTTTGTAAATAAATTGAAATAGCGTCCAAGTCCCTGCAGAGTTGACTATTTATTTTGTAAGGTACAGCATATCAAAAAAGTCTTTCTTTACAGTCTAAATTTCAATCACTTTCTTATTTAATGATTTCAACGAAAAAAAATTGAATATTAAAAATTTTAAAAAGAAAACCTGTATTTTTACTAGCGACCATCATCCATTGAAAATCAGTTTTTATTCCAGTTTGGTTAAACACATCTAGTAGAATAGCGCTGGGTTGGGAGTATTCCTAGAATATATTCCTGGATATATAAATATATCTCTTGGAATAGAGCAGGGTTGGGAGTATTCCTAGAATATATTCCTGGATATATAAATATCTATAGGGATATAGCAGGGTTGGGAGTATTCCTAAAATATATTCCTGTATATATAAATATCTATAGGGATATAGCAGGGTTGGGAGTATTCCTAAAATATATTTCAGGATATATAAATATATCTCTTGGAATAGAGCAGGGTTGGGAGTATTTCTAAAATATATTCCTAGATATATAAATATCTATAGGAATAGAGCAGGGTTGGGAGTATTCCTAGAATATATTCCTGGATATATAAATATATATCTCTAGGAATAGAGCAGGGTTGGGAGTATTCCTAGAATATATTCCTGGATATATAAATATCTCTAGGAATAGAGCAGGGTTGGGAGTATTCCTAGAATATATTCCTGGAAATATATCTCTTGGAATAAGCAGTTGCATAAAATTATTTAATTAATATACCAATAAACTAAATATCTGCAAAATTCCGTTATTAGTAGGTTAAGAAAACACCATTTTATAAATTGTCTCGATTTCTCCATAGTAACGGGTTAAATTGTAACTGCCTCAATGGTTCACGGTGATACCTGTTCAACATTTATTTAAAAACGGTTAAAGAACATAAACGTCTAACTCGATTAATATTATAATGATCTTTTACCTCAAAAAATTTCCCTTTATCATCTTTCTTTTTTCTGTGTTGCTTCAGCTCATATCTTAAAACATTTATTTTATAAGTTTTCTCCTTAAAATGCTTTTAGAAAAATTATTAATTTTTTACATTTTTTCCTTGCAAAATTTGATAAATTTCGACCAGCTGTAAACCATTCCTGAGATCATGTGAGTTGCCACAAAAAATCAGGCCGGATCGACTCAACTGTTTATTGTATACATACAATCAGACAGACAAACAAACAAGAAAAGTGTAAATAGATATAGAATTGTGACAAAAAAATTACCTTAGATTAGTTCTTTTCTTGAGCTGTTCAAATATTCTTATAAGTCCCCCATTCTTATAAATTTGTCTAAAAGGATTAGTTTGATGTTATTTGAAATAAATCATTTACGTTGGGACGTACAAAGCTGCAATAGAAAGACGCCATCTTATGTATATTTGATGTTTTTATAAAACAAAAATTTTAATAGCAACCGTTTTAAAAAAAATTATTTTTTCCAAAATGCTCGTATTAGAAATGATTGTTACGTTTTTCGTTTTTCTTCGTTGTTTTTTAACGAAACGATCGTTTTTCAAAAAAATGAAAACAATCCATTCCGAAGGACAACTCACAATATGTAGCTTTGTTTCATGATTATTAGTATTTGACTATTTAAAATCATAACTACAGTCCCACTGTATATACAGTCATAACCAAAAAACTCTGGAATAGGAAGTCGACTTTTAAACTCAAGTTATGACTTTAAAATGTCCAATGAACATGAGATACAGCAATTGTGTAGTGTAAACAGACCCATTTCACTTAATAAGTGGTTTAATAACTTTTAGTAAAGCTAATTGCAACATCAAATGCACTTCAGAATTAATATAATGTCGTCTTACTATTCCACAGTTTTCTGGTTATCACTGTATATACTTTATATATTGTGTATATTTCATATATTGCATATATTGTATAATTTGTATATATTGTATATATTGTATAATTTGTATATATTGTATATATTGTATAATTTGTATATATTGTATATATATATGAAGATACCTGAGCTGAGTTCCTGTAGGTAATATATTATTGTCTTCTTCCTCCACTATTGTTAGATTTTTCTATACAAATTTAAGTATAAAAATACCTAATCAATGCAAAAAGTCTTTGCAACACACTGAATTTTTTTAACTTTTATATCTTTGCAACCAGAGGGTGCAGTAAACCTTTGATAATTTTAAACTTAGATTTTTTGATACAGTTAAACCCTAAATAAGCCATACATCGAAAGAATTCATCAAATTTCGTATTCTTCACTTTCTGATAATGGAATGTTGCATTGCAAATATTTAGTTTTTTTAATTAAATGATTATATACTGTTCCCACATATTCATGGCTATTTATTTATTTTCGCAAATACTGAGATTTACGTAAAACAGTATAAAACCCGTTGAAAAATTGTCAGTAAATTCTTTTGATGTATGGCTTATTTTTGGTTTAACTGTAATATTGAATTCCTAGTTTAAACTTATTACATATCTTTTGTCTAAAACATTGGGTCGCAAAGATTAGAAAATCAGAGTTTGTGGCAAAGACTCCCTTTTGTTCTATTTGTCTTGAAAATTTTATGTATGCTAAAGGGAATGTTCTGGCAATGAAATCTAGAAAGTCTTTGCACATAATATTTCAACTGTCAAAAATAAACTATAAAGTGCCCCCCTTTATCTTCTGTTGAATGATTAAAATATAGTGTTTTAAATTCTGAAAAAAAGTTTGAAAACCTATTCTTTCCAGAAATACAATAATTAAGAAAAAAAACCTACCATATAGGTTGCGACCCAGTGCACCTCCCCCTCCTTGTAATCAAAGAGATAATCAAAAGTCCATTTCTTGTGAGCCAGCCAACCACCAGAACAATTTACTTCAACACAATTATTATCAAGTTAATTAAAAAGATGGAAGAAAAGAGCTCAGCTCTGATTTTGTCAATTTGCGCAAAAATGGTGGAAATAATTGCAAAATGAAAATTGATAATTCTTAATTGAGATTTCTTATGCTAGCTGTTTTTTTTGCACAAGAGACAAGAAAGGATATTGGCAGAATTTATCTTTTTTTCAGATAAGAAAACCCACTGATATTATTGATAAGATAACGGTTTAAACTTTTAAACTTTTATGGTTGTATTCCTAATATGACTGGTTTCTGCTTGACCATATATTGAGTTGTGAACAGGGTTTTATCTGAACAATCCAATCTATCCAGGTCATCTTGAAAGGGACTGTAAGCGTAATTGCAAAGGAACTTCAAAATAAAGAAAGCAATGTCCAATCTCCAAAATTATAAACATTGATATCTAATTCATACTTGATCAGACAAAGCTTTTAAGGGTATTGTTGTGAATCGAGCATTGGCATCTTGGGATGGAGGGTCACTTGAAATTACGTTTACAATACCTTTGACTTCATCATACACCTTCCTAGTGTCTACTAGGGGCATCTGCAGCAAACCACTATATGAAAATTTAAATAGATAGATAGAAAAATATATGAATAGATAGATAGATAGATAGATGGATATAATTTTGTAAATTATTTTTGATTTTTTTTTAATGTTTTCATAATAAATATTCCTCCTGGCTACTGCAACATCGATCCAATTCATCATAAACTGACTTATAATGTACCCTGAAGGAATCACCTTTAACAATGTCTGAAATTGAAAATGCTTTTTTAACAGTTTTCTGGATTTTTAACCCATCATATTTCATTCTAGTGGCAAATATTCTGTCCTAAATGATTTTCAATAATTTAAATTAAAAAATATATTTCCTGCGACTAAATATAATTATTTCTGATTTATGAACAAAGTGTTTAAGAATTCACTGTGGACTAGAATCAATTTGAAATCGAACCAGACCAACCCCTTGTACCGGCCTCAGTGAGGCGAGGCTAGTTTTGGCCCGACCCTATCAACTCCACTGGTTCGGCCAGACTTTTTACAGTACCTGGCCAATCATAGGCCTTTTTGACGATCAACCCCACTAGCTTAGTTTAATGCGAATTACATGGGGTTCTTTAGATAACGAAGGATAAGTCCTACAGCCCTGCTATAAAGTAAAAGGATGAAAGGATACTGTCCCTGAAACCAACAACTTTCCCCAACACTATATTTTCAGAAATTTCCTCTTAGGTAGGGTTTGATAAATGTACTCTTTGAAGAATCAGATTGATATTTTTCCAGGTTCAATTCTTCCAGCAAAGTCATCTTTTTGTTCTCCTGTTAATAATCTTTATAAAATGGGGTTTTAAATTTAAATATATTTCAATTTTAACAAAGTACATAAAGATTTTGATTACTTTTAGATAATGCTATGCTTCTTTTGAAAAAAAATATAAGGTGCACAAACTGATTTTTTTGCTCAACAAATACAAATTGCTTTGGTTTTAACAATTTTGTAATTTTTTTTTTGCTTTTGCTTTTTTTTGTGTTGGGACTGGGAGCTTTCAAAAGAAAAATAAGTTAAATTGATTTACTTATTGATAAAACTTTCACTACCTCAGTTGTAAGAACAGCAAGACATTTGGGACCTAGTTCCTGGCATTGCTCAAGTCTATTCCCACTCCCCCTGATCAGAAATGTTTTTAATACACTAATTAATATGATATTTAAAACAATTCAACCGAAATTTTATGATTTTTGTTTTAAGAATGATTTTTTCATTTAAAGGGTTAATTAATGCTGCATATCAAGAGAGGAGAAATTTGTTAGTGTTATTTTTATAACATGGCAGCACATTTCTGATGGCTTTCCATCATATATTACAGTACACATTATATGTCATTTTTATTGTTTACATTATGCACTGTATATAAACCTGGTACATTACACCAAATTAGTCATCCCCTTCTTCTAGAGAAATTTATGAGAATCAGTTGATATGACCTGTAATTTTCTTGTTTAAGTGGAGTAGACACAAAACTACCGTTAAACAGAACATATGGTTTCTTTGTAACATAATAACTCCAGTTGAGAGATCCTAATCCAGTATCAACATTCAGGATTAGATGAAAAAAGTAAAGTTCTTCTAAAATATCTTCCAGACATGGGCCCTAAATAGGAAGCTAATGAGATATTATCAGGGTATATGGTCTTTTTGTTTTCAAATGACTCCACATTTAAAAATAAGGCCCATGAATAATTCACAGTGGTACCCTTACAGGGAGTGACCGTCAATCTGTGGTGGTTGACAATGACCTGAGATTGAGGTATTGTAGAGAAATTTCTTAGGATTCATTTGAGACATATAAAACGTTTTAAAGAAGTTAATTACTGAGTTTGCGCGCAATGTCGAAGTTCAAAATCATCAATTTGGATGGGTTAGTTTTGAGAATCAATTTTTTTTAAATTATTAAATAACAACGACAAAAAATGTAACAAAATTATACAATAAACTAATTAGTTGTTTAGGAAAAGGTTGAGAAAATAAAAATTATAACTCTTATCATCGAAAAAAAGTAATCTTATTCAATTATCAGTTCTATAATCTCAAAATTTTCTGCAGATTTTCTGGAATTTTTATTTGAAGAATTTGTAGAAATCTGCAAACAAATTCAAAGGAAATAAGAAATTCATAAAATGATGAAACAAAATAATTGATTCTAGCATTGATTTATTGATTTATTGATTTATTGATTTATTGATTTATTGATTTATTGATTTATTGATTTATTGATTTATTGATTTATTGGTAAATTTATTGTGAGAAATATGTTCCTAAACATCCTATTAGTTTACTAATATTTCAACTGATCATTTAAGATGTTTGACAAATCTATTCTCATTCATTTAAAAAAACCGTCCGTTTTATTCTATTTAATGAAACCATCCCTTTTATTCTATTTAATGAAACTGTTCGTTTTATTCTATTTAATGAAACCGTCCGATTTTATGAAACTGTCCGTTTTATTCTATTTAATGAAACCCTCCATTTTATTCTATTTAATAAAACCGTCCGCTTTATTCTATTTAATTAAACCGTCCGTTTAATTCTATTTAATGAAACCATCCATTTTATTCTATTGCAAAATGAATGTTTCTTTTTTTGGAAGGACAACATTTCAAGTCTTTAGGTAAATTTAGGGTCTTTAAAGGGACTGCCCTCTCGGACCCAGAGGCTTCCAATCATGAGATGGCCTATGGGTTTAGGTCCCTTGAATACCGGGTAGAACAGAGAGATAGGAAGCCTGGATAAGACCAGTAAGGCATTGGTGAGGCGTTTAGGTAAATATAGGGTCTTTAAAGGGACTGAAAACACAAGTGACCTTGCATGCAAAGATAGTTTTAGATTACCACCTTTAACGTAAATCCTGCACATTGTTGATCTGTATCACACCAATCAATTCCTTCAGAAACTAGCATCCTGCATTTTAGGGTTTCCATTCGCAAAACTTTTGCGCAATTTTTGCGGAACGAAAAACTTGACCGTCTTCACTGTTCATCTTGCAGATATATTATTGACACATCTTTACACCCTTTGACCGTATTCATAAATTAAACTCTATCAGACATAATAATATTATGGCTTTTGAAATTAGGTATTACAATGCTAATTCATAACAAAGACGATATCGAATTCGTCACTGAATTCCCATGTTTTTTGGGACACCCTGTATTTAATTTTATTCTATTGGTAAAATGAATGTTTCTTTTATTGGAAGGGCAACATGTCAAGTCATTAGGTAAATATAGGGTCTTTAAAGGGACTGCCCTCTTGGTCCCGGAGGCTTTCAATCTAGGCCATGAGATGGCCTTAAGGCTGTGATGTTTAGGCGCCTTAAAGACAGGGTAGAACAGAGAGATAGGAAGCCTGGATAAGACCAGTAAGGCATTGGTGAGGCGTTTAGGTAAATATAGGGTCTTTCAAGGGACTGTAAACACAAGCGACCTTGCATGCAAAAATAGTTTTAGATTACCACCTTTAACGTAAATCCTGCACATTGTTGATCTGTATCACACCCTTCAATTCCTTCAGAAACTATCATCCTGCATTTGCAGGGTTTTCCATAAAACATGGCAGTGAAGAAAAAGAGCTTGAAAATCGTCTTGGAAACAATTTGTGGCATTTATTTTTCAATCTACTTTTACATGTATGATTCTTAACAGTAATCACAAAACTCCCCTGGTCCCTAGTATTGGCATTTCCAAAATGTTGTATGTTTATATGTTGTTGCATTTTTTGTGCTTTCAATATTACAAGAGAATTTCCTTCAATTAATTAAATACTAGCTGAAGTGTCAGTGGGATTTTTTAAAATTGAATTTTGAAAAATAAATTTGATTTTTGAAATTTTTTTATTTTGAAGAAAAAAATCGTTTTTTAGCCTATGTTACCCCAGGGTACTCAAAGGTTCCCTAAAAAAATGTCAAAGAGCATAATTAAATAGAAAATCATAATTGTAAATTGTATGTGAAGTTCTTTACATCTCCAAAATTTGAAAAGCAGACAACAACTTGGAAATGCCAGGACCAGAGGCCGAATTTAAAGAATTTGAACCATGGCTTAAATTTGAGAAACAACTCAAATATCCACTTCAACTTAAAATTGTATTCAATGTTTCAGGATTTAAGCCGGCGCTCAATTGAAACCGGTTTTTGACGGATTTAAATTCGGACTCCGGGGTTGATATAAGAATTTTGCTTCTAATATTAGTTAAATGAATGAATGACACAAATTTTTACAAAGGTCAATGCAGCAATATTCATTTTGTCTCTTAACTGTCATGTTTTGTGGGCCACCCTGTAGATTATCAAACAGATTGTAAACATGATAATTAATATGTAACTCTAGGACCACATTTAAGCGATTGAGCTGCGTAGATGTGGTTGAACCACTCCTCTTTTATACAACAGTTCAAGTTTAAGAGACGTGATTCGACGAAATGTGTTTTGTTTACTTTCCCTATTAATCAAATTCGGTTGGCAGGGGAGCCAAAAATTCAGGACAAAGAGAACAAATTTATATGTGCTGGAGTTTACCTGGAATTGAGTTGAGAGTACTCAAATTTCCCCTCTTCTATTCTACCCGGTTGCAAAACAGTATCTTAAACAGGATTGTCAATTTTGAAATATGTAAGATCTGTTAAACTTATTCACTTTCACTTGAGATCAGAGCTGTAAATGCTTTCAAGAGTTCATGTCAAGCATATGGTCAATGAGAGATCGACAATTCCACAGTATTTAACATGATCTCAGCGATCCTGTTAACTCTACATTCTAGTTTATTTGGAACTTTACTGTATAGTTTTTGTATCCTGCACACTGGCCAGTAAAATTTTCGCCAAACCAAAATTCAACTTAGAATAGATTCAATTTGGGTTCTTAACCAGGTTTAAATAAAAGGGGAGGGGGGGGGGGGCAAACNATTTTGAAAAATAAAATAAGGCTTGTATAAGAATTTTCTTGCGGAAGATGATAAGTTTTTCGAGTATTAAGGGTTTATTTTGGTGTTAAGGATTGGAGATAATCTAATATGATATGGGACGCTCTGTAGTTTACTGATAAATGATATTAAGAGATTATGGCCTATTCATACAGTACAAACATCAAATATGCAGTACGCTTTCGGAGTACACGTGTATGGGGAGGTTTTGTACTTTGAATTTTACTCAGTTTTCTGAGAACAGTTTATTAACGATAAAATATAGCTCTGTAAAAGACTGTAAATGTACATCTTCCTGTGATAATATAATCCTGCATACGCTAAAGGAGTAGTGGATTTTAATAGTTACATGGAAAACAAATTCTCCATTTTAATATTTTAAGAAATCACCCCCGAGTACTGTAATATACAGATTGACCTGTGATAGTGAAGTACATGGCCTGTAGTTGTACAATTGCCTATTCCTCTCTTCCCTTTAATCCCCTATCTCTGCCTGTATAGTGTATATCCCCTTACTCTTATCATAATCTTTTTGTGGTGGTAAATGTTGCTCACCTGTAGTACATAGAAGATAAGATGATAGCAAGACAAGCTTTAAGCAACAATCTGTGCCGATTATAATATAGAACTTGCTGAATTTAGCCAAAAAAAATAATAATAAAAACAATATTGTTGCTTTATTGTTTTGTTTGTATCATTTCAGTTTATCTGTTCATTTTCATTTTTTACATTTAATCCGTTTAGGCAATTCATGGGGTGAGGTGGCAAAAATGCAAAGAACAGTTTTAATTTTTGTTTAATATATTTTCCTAACATAATGCTGTCCAAGATTTTTATTTGAATAATTCAAAGTAGGAGCTTTTGTGGATACATTCGATATCCAATGTGGACACTTTTAAATTTGAGACTTAATGCTTGTTCCATCATTTTAAGTTAAACCTTCAGGGTGTAACCACCGCAGAATATTCAGATTCATAAGTTTTGACTCCTGGTCAATTTAAATCAGTTATAGCAATAAAAACGCTATTTCTCTGAAACACAAATTCTAAATTTTGCATGCATTTATATTTAAGAATTGTGATCAATTAAAAAATTCAAAGTTGTATTCTAAAAAATTCAATTAATGAATCTTAAAACTTAAATTATTGAGAGTACTCATAAAACTGTGGAATTACAGTGATAACTAAAAAAACCTCTAAAATAGGAAGACGACTTTTAGAAACAAATTATAACTTTAAAAGTCCTATGAACATGAAACACAGCAATTGTGCAGTGTAAACAGACCCTTTTCACAAAACTATTGATTTACTAATTGTCTAGTAAAACTATATGCTTTGTAACAACATCAAAATACTCTTAACAACTGTTATAAGGTCGTCTTCTTATTTCATTGTTTTCTGGTTATCACTGTAGTAAAGGACTTTTAGACTTAAGTTATGATTTCCAATGAACATTAAACTGCATGTGCAGTATACAACATGCACATTGCACAACCCCATTTAACTATATTAGTAAATTTTCAATATACTTTAAACTATTTCTTTAAAAAAACATTATGTATTTGTATAAAGTATAGACAACTTAAGTGGTGTGGGAGAAAGGGCGGAGGTGGAGGCGGGTGGGGGGGGTGCAAGTTCAAATGGCTGAAAAAGACATCGCTAGTAAAAAATGATTTCAGCCATTTCTCTATTGAATTTAAATGTTAAGTTAATGACTGTCTGAGATTAACTATAAAACTATTTGAAGAAGCACCAATAAGCTGAATAAATAATAATAGTTGTCAATGTTACTATATTTACCTTAACAGGGAAAGCTCCTAAAAGACAAAGACGACAGCCCTGACATTTTACATTTTTTTAACACAATGTATTTACATTGCACAGGGTGTCCCACATCATATTAGATCGTCAATCAGTCTAAATTACGATTTTCGGGACTAATCAGAAAATTTAAGAAGATATAATTATTTTGAAAAATTGATTAATTGATAAGAATTTCCTTGCGGGAAATACTAGTTTTTTTCGAGTATTATGGTTATATTTTTGCGTTAAAGCTTGGAGATAATCTAATATAATAATAATGCACATTCAGTACAGGATATAAAAATTAGAAGCAAAAACAATTCATTATTTTTCAGCAAAGCTTTTCATTAAGGAATGGAAATTTTAATGATGATTATTTGGACAGAAAACCATCACTATTCAGAAATTGATGCAAAACAACATGTTCAATTTTGTTTTGCAAGGACTGTTTAAGTGCAATTTCAAGTAGGGTTTCCAGCGAAAAAAATATCTTTTCACGAAAAATGCGAAAATTTTCGCTTTTTCCCGAAATTTTGCTTTAATATGTTTCGCGAAAAAATGCAAAAAATAATGCGAAAATTTCGCGAAAAAAGAAAGTGAAAATTACGGGAATTATACGGACTTTTTTTAAATGCTAAACAAAGCTTTTAATGGTACCGTTGTGAATCGGGCAGTGCTTTCTTTAAGGTGGCGTTTCACTCGAAATTACACTTTCAGTCCCTTTAAATTTTAATGAATTTTAACACAAACACATTTTAACATTTATTAAACAAGGATTCCAATGATTGACATAATATAATATATGTATATCTTTATATATATATATAAATATATATAAAATAACATATTGCACTAATATATATATATATATACTGTATATGTAAATTTAAGAATTAATATTTCAATGTTAGAATCAGATTCTATTTAAAATACAAAACGATTATCACAAAACTTTTATTGACTATTGTTGTAACTTTGGTATTATTCTTGGAGTAACTGGGGTATTATATATTTATCTGATCTGAGGGAGGTGTTAACAACTAGAGAAATATTGATATCAATAATGTATGAACGACAATTTTTAAAAAAAGATTATGGCAAATTTACTCCAAAAAACGAAATGAAATGAAAAACGTTTTAATCTTTTTATGGAGCGATTCATCATAGAGAGAACGATTTATAATAATGTGATGCATGTGATGCAGGGTTTCCCACAAAGGATTAGACTTCAGAGACGACCTTACGAAACTTATTCAGTCTTATTTTCTTACATTTATGGTTTCATGGAACTTTTTTTATCCTTTTAATTAACATTAAAAGATTGTTTGTAAGACTGTTGTATTTCAGGTCTTCATTAAAATCTCATTCTTTGTGGGAATCCCTGTATACAATATACGATACAATATACAATAAACAATATACAATTTACAATATGCAATATACAATATACAATATACAATATACAATATACATTTATATAAGTGCAAGTACAATTTTTATTTAAGCGTATCAAGGTTACCACAAATCGAGTTAGATACGGTCTCAGCAAGACCAAAGATAGATTTTAATATTTTCTTTATTCATCATATTGGGTTTAAAGGGTAATGACGACGTAATTTAAAGTGAAACCTTTGTCTGAATAAAATTGAAGGAGATATCCTTTTTTTCTATCTAAGAATATTTTTAAGACGGTAAACCAATCCCTCATTGTTATTCAAATACATGTTTAAAGGACATCGTTCTTAAAGGGACCGTTCACTTTATATTCGAAATTTATTTTGATTCACAACATATTGACAAAAAACATCAAATAGTGTAAATGACAAAGGTATCATACCTTTGCGCTCGAATTCTAAACGAAAAATAATATCAATCAACAGCAAATAGGCTGTTTAGTTTACCATGAAATTACCCATATAAGTGAACGGTCCCTTTAATCAGAAATTACGTTGACATCTCATTTAGTGATGAGCACACAGAATCCTCGAATACATCCATATAGAGAGGGGTTGCTTTACAAAAAAAATATTTTGAATTGGGTCAACCGGGTTTATTTGGGGGATACAAATCTGAACAATTTTGAGAAAATATATAAATGATAAATAAATTGGAAAGTCATTTTGATAGATTCCAAATCTGAGTGAAGCAAGATGACATTTTCAAAATCAATCTCTCTTTTGACAAAGCGGTGTAAAAAAATTGAATAATGTACGCTCATAAATTGAACGTATAAAATGATACAATACTTGCACATTGCGAATGAATCTGTTTTGAAATAGTAGAGGGAGGGGGGGGGCACAGTGGTTTCGAGGG